AGATACTTTGTAATAAAAAACTCAAGTTACAAAAGCACCACAATGAAAAATATTTAAGAATAAATTTAACAAAAGCACAATACTTGTACTTTGAAAATTATGAAAAAGCAGCAAAAGAAATTTAAAGGATAAGTTAAAGTGAATTCTATGCACAAGAGTCCAAATATCTCCTTTTGAGAGAAGTCTTCTCTGGATTCTGCTTAACCACAAATAATATTACTGTCAGGGCTCAAACTTCATAGAAATGCTTTCCTCTTATTGGCATCACAAACCTTGTTTCAGGTGGCATTTCATATTTCCAATCAATGCTTCTTTGTTTTTTCAAAAAAGATTTATTTATTTGACTGCAACGGCCAGTGCTACGTGGATGAGAAGCCAGGAGCCCAGATCCTTTTCTGGGTCTCCCACACGGGTGCAGGGTCCAAAGCCTTTGGGTTGTCCTCAACTGTCCTCCCAGGCCACAAGCAGGGAGCTGGATGGGAAGTGGGGCTGCTGGCATTAGAACAGGTGCCCACATGGGATCCCGGTGCATCTAGGGTGAGGACTTAAACCGTTAGGTCATGGCGCTTGGCTATAAGCAATGCTTCTTTATTTTGTAATGTACAGAAAAAGACAAATTTATTGTACAAAGAAATCTTATGATTTCATAAAATGCAATTTTAAAAGACTGACTTATTTTTATTGAAAAGGCAGATTTACAGAGAGAAAGAGAGACAGAGAGAAAAGATCTTCCTGGTAAGCTAGGAGTTTCTTCCAGATCTCCCACATGGATGCAGGGTCCTAAGGCCCATCCTTTATTGGCTTTCTGACTTCCCAGGCCACAAACAGGGAGCTGATGGGAAGTGGAGCATCCAGGACACGAAGCAGTGTCCATATGGGATCCTGGCACATACAAGGCAGGGATTTAGCCACTGAGTGAGTCATTGTGCCAGGCCCAAAATGTAATTCTGATTTACTAAAAATGGGGGCGTGATGAGGGTCTGATGTTCTGCAACCTTAACAGTTTTCAGATTACACTGATATTGCTAGTCCTCAGGGCATACTGTGGATGGTAAGATTTTTTTAAAAAGATTTATATATATATATATATATTTAAAGATTTATTTTATTTTTATTGGAAAGTCAGATATACAGAGAGGAGGCGAGACAGAGAGGAAGAATTTCCATGGATTGATTTACTCCTCAAGCGGCCAAAACAGCAGGAGCATAGCCAATGCAAAGCCAGGAAACCAGGAGCCTCTTCCGGGTCTCCCACAGGAGGATGCAGGATCCCAAGGCCTTGGGATATCCCCCACTGATTTCCTAGGCCACAAATAGGGAGCTGGATGGAAAGCAGAGCTGCAGTGATAAGAACTGGTACCCATATGGGATCCTAGTGCATGAAAGATGAGAACTTTAGCTGCTAGGCTACTGTGCAAGGCCCAGATTGCAAGATTTTAAGTAGGTACTTACAACTAGTCTAATTTGTAAAAAAAAGGAAAAGAGAAAGAGAAGAAAAGCAAACCTTAAGATGAGTGATAAATTAAGAGAAAGATGGAAGTCTGATGAGTCCTCTAAGCTTTTCATAAATGCACACAGTAAATTCTCCGTAACAAAGAAAATATACTTAACATTACCTATTTTAAGAGCCTGATTTGGCCAGCTAGCAAGCCAGCAAGTGGCTCAATCTGTAGGAAAATGTTTTTTAAATTTTTGATTTATTGATCTATTTAAAAGGCATAAATAAAGAGAAAGGGTTCTTAGCTGCTGGTTCACTACCCAAATGCTGGGAATAGGCAATTCAATCCATATTTCCCAAGGGAGTGGTAAAGACCCAACCACTTGCTGTTTCTCAAGGTATACATTAGCAGGAATCTAGAAAAAAAAAAAAATGAAAGTGGAGCCAGGAGTTGATATAAGGCACTCAGATAAGAAGTATTCCCAACCAGTGTATTAACCCCTAGACCAAATACCTGACCCTGAGAACTTTTTAAAGTACCTACTACACATTTATAATCTTAGAGAACTGACTTTTTTCCTGTTTCCCCTTCTCTAATGTCTCTTATCGCTTCTTTTAGACAGTTTCTGAAACATCATTTGGAGACCAACTGTGATGCATGAGGATCTATTAATTGTTCTACAGACAGTGTGAGAACAAAGGTAACACAGAAGACTAGTTTTGACTTTCAAAGAAGCCCTGTGAGATTGTTAATTGCTGTTACATCCCAAGAGCGACTTACGCTCTGGAAGGAATAACAGAACACTGTTTCAGCTAATATGTAAGTTTTTTACTTTGCTTAAGTGTATGTTTGTTAGTACTACCACAATAGGTTAAACCTCACATTTAGGAAATGAATCAGTGGATCAAAAGTGTTCCCCAAAAAAGTAAAAAATACTTTTAATCCAGAATGCCATAAATGATAATATTATGATCTCAGAGTGAAGACTGTAGAATGGTCTGTGGCTAGTGCATTCAAAATGATGAGCTTGCAATTTGAGACATCCTTGTTTTTCTCACACTTTAATACATAATTAAATAGGGCAAAGAAGCCACTAACATATTCATATCCTGTTGAAAAAAATTATGCTGAGAGGCTGAGACAAAAAAAAAAAAAGAGAGCATACTACCATCCACTGGCTCACCCCCCAGATGCCCAGGCTGAGTCAAACCACGAGCTGGTAACTCAATCCAGGTCTCTGATGAGGGTAGTAGGTATCACTTGAGCCATCTACTTGAGCCGTAACCTACTTGAGCTGTCTCCCCCGCTTGGGATTTGGGGAGTGAACCAGCAATGGTCTCTAGCTCTCAAAAACAAAACAAAAAAGAAAGCCAACAAAATTATAAAGATAAAACTATAGTCAATACAAGCTTCTTTCAACAAAACAGATGTATCTTGTCAACTGGAAAAATAATGACAAATATTCTCCAATATTCACAAAGCAATCTTCTGACAAAATTTCATCATCAGATGACACTACTGGACAATACGTAATATATGTATGAGACAGGAAGAACAGCCAACATCACAGATATATGTTCCTAAGATTCTGTTTTATGGCTGTAGAAATCAACTTTAAGTATACACATCTGAAATATGTGAATCAAGAAATACAGGCCATTTTAAATTCTGATTACCAATGGAAGTATGCTTTGAAGGACAGATTTTTCTTTTAGTCATTGATTACTTTTGACTTCAGAGTCAAAAGTATGGTCAGAGCTATGGTCAGAGTACAACTCAAAGTCAATTTGCACATCCCTTCTTTGACAGACAGTAACTGGCATCTGACAATGTACCCTCTGTTTTTAAAGTAAGTGCTAAAGACTGCATGGGAAATTCTGAATGTAATTCAAAATGCAGTCCATGAACAGACATCTTCAGCATGTTATGTCAAGAAAGAACAAATACATTTTCTATTTTGTCAAAGAGAAAGATGCTAACAAAAATTTCAAATGAAGGATGTACATTTTCTTCACAACACTGATAGATGTCAGTAAAACAATTCTATGATTTTAAGATGTTAACTCAGTGTCATAAAATATATATCATGTGTATACATATATACTTAACTATACTGAAATATGAAGACCAAATTGCAACACTGTTTAACCAGAATTTGACTCTTAACTAGTATCTAGATAGCTTCTTTCCCAAGATATTTGATTAAGAAGTCTCATAGAGATTAATTCAGCCAAAAGAACAGACTGTTGTCATCTCTCAAAATGAAAAATTTAACTTTTTTTAAACTTAACGTGATATATGTTTCAACCCAATGTTTGAGTTTTCAGTGAGAATTCTTGCACTAATTTTTATTTCCAATTATTTTAATGTCTGAAATATTGACTGCTCTTCCAACAATCTATAATTGAAAGCAGGGCTGTCTAACATAATGAGCAGCAGAAAAGGGACCAGTTAAATATTAATCCTCAACATCAGTTAGCCAGATTCCAGTGTAGTCAGAGAATGCAATAATAACTGCTTGCTTTTCCTGATTTCAAGTTATTTTACATTTTTTTAAATAAAGGACTGTTTTGGTCCTAAAATAAAACATTTTGGACTATTCATTTGCATTTAATGTAACTGTAATCATGGTGTGCATGAATACCTATCACGTAATCCACAAATTCCAAATGTATGAGATGATTACTTTGTCTGTTACACTATTTTTACAAGAAGTTATCATTTTTCCTATGCCTCACGCTAGAGAAAAACAAATATAGAAATTCTCTTGGCCCTCATTAATATTATATTAAAAGGCATTTTATTATCCACACTTGTATTTCTTCATTAAAAAAAAAGGGCCTGACGTCAATATGTAATTAAAAAGAAAGTATATAATTTCTATTTCCAAATTTTCCTTCAATCCTACTCCTCCAAAATCCATCCTTTTCCTGAACTCAAGCTGTCTTTCTATATGCTGGGTTATAGCCGGGGGTGATACTAAAAATGCTTAATGACTAGCAGAGGATAAAAAACAAGAAGAATGAGACCAATTCATAAAGGAATGACTCTAACGGCAGAAATATTAGCATGTTAGAGCTTCTTAAGCAGTCTGCTATCCAGCTTTTCCATGTTAGCCCCATTCTCAAAAGCCTTTGATTATTCCTTCCAATACCCAGAAGGACAGCAGTTTTCACTAAAGAAATAAATTAGATTCCAAAAATTGGACTTTATTTATGTCTTTAATTTCCCTATTCTTTCTCACCAAGAGAAGCATTTGAAACAGCACATTACTATTTTCTTTCTTTTACATCAGTTGACTTCAGAGAACGAGGATCTTTAAATTGTCTTTTTATTATACCTTTGTTACTTCATTACAGCTACAAAGATAGGCAAGTTCTTTCTCCTCTCAAGCAAGTGAAATAGTAAGGTACAAATGGATGGATCTGGAACTATACTAAAGATATTGTATAAACTGTTAGCAAAACAAATTGAAGTCTGATGTTTACAGAGGAAACAACAAAAATGGAATGAAGAGAATCACAAAAAAAGTAGAGATGGATCATTTTAAAATAAACTTACCCAACTTTGGAAAAACTATTAAGTATTCAGCATTGCACTGGGGGCAAGCCACTCTAGCTGTGCTGTTTCCTCTTTGTTTTTCATCCACCCAGCGCTGCAGACAAGCCTGGTGAACCCATTTTGTAGATCCTCTACATCTGCACGGTCTCACCCATTCAGCCGTTCTATCATCTTCATCAGTGGCAAAACATACCCAGCAACTTCTGTAAATTAATAGAAAACTCATCTTTACAATCCAAGCATTCTCTATGTTTTTATCATGGACTGACCCTTCTATGTTTATATATATATATTTATTTATTTTTATATACTTATATATATACATATATATTTTCTTTAATTGCAAAGTCAGATAGAGAGGAAGATCTTCCATTTGCTGATTCACTCCCCAAGTGGCCGGAGCTGAGCCAATCTGAAGCCAGGAGCCAGGAACTTCCTCCAGGTCACCCACACAGGTGCAGGGTCCCAAGGCTTTGGGCCATCCTTGACTGCTTTCCCAGGCCACGTGCAAGGAGCTGGATGAAAAGTGGAGCTGCCGGGATTAGAACCAGCATCCACATGGGATCCTGCTGTGTTCAAGGTGAGGACTTTAGCTGCTAGGGTACTGTGCCCAGCCCCTTCCTATGTTATATTAGAGCACCTCTTCTGCTACATTAAAATAAGGAGACAACATACCAATGAATTTTTTGTAGAGTGGCTTTTTAATGTTTCCTCTCATCTTCCTCGGTAGGATGTTGTAGTTCAGAATTTTGCTTTTAATGTAATTCTGCCAACTTTCTAGCAATTCCTTACCTCTCCAATGAACTAGGATGCATAGAGACAACCCTCAAGCTGCCGCTGTGAATTCTTTGATAAATAGTAAGCACTGAGACACATCATGTGAAATTTGGCATTCTAATCCAATTCAACACTAATCTCTCAACTTCGAGAAAAAAAGTACTAACATACATGATATCGCACAGTTACATTCAATTTATAACTCAGGGAAAACCCCCACCCATTTCTAACTCAGCTAAAGTACGATCATAAGGAAACACAAGGAATATATTTTTATTTTTATTTATTTATTTTAAAGATTTATTTATTTATTGGAAAGTCAGATATACAGAGAGCAGAAGAAACAGAGAGGAAGATCTTCCATCCAATGATTCACTCCCCAAGTGAGTGCAATGGCCGGTGCTGTGCTGATCCAAAGCCAGGATCCAGGAACTTCTTTTGGGTATCCCACGCGGGTGCAGGGTCCTAAGGCTTTGGGCCGTCCTCGACTGCTTTCCCAGGCCACAGGCAGGGAGCTGGATGGGAAGTGGAGCTACCGGGATTAGAACCAGCGCCAATATGGGATCCTGGCACATTAAAGGCGAGGACTTTAGTTAGCCGCTAGGCCATGCTGCCAGCCCCAAGGAATATATTTTTAAAAAGAAGCACAAAGACTAGGCATTGGTCTAGTGGTTGAAGCCAGATAAAATATACATATCAGCCTTCCCAGGTTTGATGCCCACTTCTGGCTCCTGATTCCAGCTGCCTACTAATGAAGATTGTCAAAGATAGCAGTGACAGCGTAAGTAATCAGTTCCTGCCACTTACGTAGAGGGACCCACATTGAAGTCTCAATTCTCAGAATTCGAGCCTGGCCTGGTCCCAGTCATTGTGAGCATTCTGGGAGTGAACCCCCAGATGGGAGTGTGCTTTTCTTTGCCATGTTAAAAATAACAGCAAAAAAGGTAAACACTGATAACTACAAAGGAGGTGGAGCTAGTAGGACAAACTGTTTCAGGACAGTGATATGACCAATGCGAGTCTGGTTTCATTACAGGTATGAGTAGTTCTTTTATTCATTTATATTTACTATGCTTGGCATTTAAAAGTCTCAAGTCTGGATGCTTACTTTGAAAACAAAATCCTATTGAGATGATTACTTTTAAGACATTATTCTTCTCCAGCTGTAGGCAACTGCCTAGGTTGCTTTGTACCTAGCAAGTGTTACACTTTTGGGAGAAAAGCAGCCAATAGCTGGTGGGCATCCTGGGCTTCGTTAAAGCCAAATCTGTGTCAATTATACCAGTGTACAGTATGGTTGTCTATTCTCTGTGTGTGAGTTTGTAAAGATATGTCAGGAGTGGGAAACTCCAGGATGAGACACGCCACCCTGACCCCCAGGTGGGGTGGCTGCAAATTGCCTGGTGAAGAAGATCTGGGGACACTGCAGTGGGCATTTTTGACAGGGGAGGAATGACTTTCAGAGTCTTCCTCAGACGGGGCCACTGCATTCATAGGTAGGCGAGAGAGCTGAGATGAGTGGTTTGTGTGTGTGTGTGTGTGTGGGGGGGGGGTTGACAAACAGAAACAACTGCTACATTACAGCTTATTATCTACTGTGCATTTTTCACTTAAATAAGTGGCTTCTATCAGAACAACTGATTATGCTATATAGTCCAACATTCAAAGATGGGTGAGGTCTTTACTCCTTGTGAAACACGACCTTCAAGAAATTCAACTGTGTGTTTTTAAACTTCCCAGGGTCCAGGGCTGTGGCACACTGCTTGCAAAGTTGACATTCCATATCTAAGTGCATACTTCATTCCTAGCTACTCCATTTCTGCCTCAGTTTCCTGTTTGTTAAGACTCGATTTGAGTTCCAATCTCTCAGTAGCTTTGGTCTGGCCCAGCCCTGCCATTATGTCCGTTTGGGAATGAACTAGAGGATGGAAGAGCTTGTCCTCTGTTACCCTGCTTTTCAAACAAACAAACCCTAAAACATACAAATAAACTTTTCAATTACAATGGTGAAAAAGCTGAACCAAGCCATGGTAATAATTTCCAAAACCATACTTGGGCTTTGCTACCAACAATGGGAAACCCACCTGGAATTCCTGGTTCCTGGCTTCAGCCTGCCCAGCCCTGGCTGCTGCATCCATATGGGAAGTAAACCAGATGAAAGATCAGAAAGAACTTTGCCTACTGGTTCACTCCCCAAGTCCTGCAAGGGCCTGAGCTGAGCTGATCTGAAGCCAGGAACTTCTTCCAGGTCTTCCTTCATGGATAGAGGGTCCCAAGGCCAAAGCCTTCCTCCACTGCTTTCCCAGACCATAAGCTGGGAACGGGATGGGATGTGGAGTAGCTGGGAAATGAACTGGTATATGGAATGCCAGTGATTGCAGGTGGAAGAGTAGCAAATTGAGCCATTGTGCTGGCCCAATCATAACAAAATTCTAATCTCTTGATAACTTTATTTCAACATAATAGGTTACATTTCTAATTCTACTTCTTTTTAAATACTCAATTCATTTTTCTTCTACCCTTTTCTTTCTACTGATTTTAAATTCCTTTTGCTTGCTGACAACCACACTACTCCTTATACCATCCCATCTACCAGGCTTGAGCAGAGTAGTCCAGGGAGATATGGAAAATATCATGATTAAATGATTATTATTAAATGCAGGTGAAAGTGAACTATGCCAAGAATATCTATAAAGAACAATACTTTTTAAATTTTGTATTTTTAATTTTATTTAATACTTATTTCTTATATGTACGGTCATATTAATATTGATAACATAACCCACGTGTATACTATTCATAAAAGATAATTTAATTCTCTGATTAAAACGACAATTTTGCTAATTTATATATCCTTATGACTAAAATTTATGAAGAGCTTAATGTTTATGGCTAAGTTGCTTTAAATCCAGAATTATTTAAGATTTCCTCCTGATTCAGCTTTATACATACTAAGTACACTTACTATTTATGCCTCCAAGAACCATATTTAAGAAACTTACAATCTAATTAAGGACCAAATATGCATACAATGATCAAATATCATGACACAAAACACTAAGTGCCAACAAAAGTTCCGAGAATACAAGATAAAAAAGAAGATAGATTGAAAGAAAAGAAACATAGATTGAAATAGCTAGTTTCATGAAAAGGAAATAACTTCAAGTAAAATCCAAATTAAACTAAAAAAAGGGTATCAGAACTAAGAAAAACAGCGTAGATGGAATGGCATGGACTGGCAGGCTAACCTCTGCCTGTGTTGTCAAGTGTTCCAAACAGGGGCTGGTTCATGCCCTGCCTTCTCTACTTCCAACCCAGCTTCCTGCTTATGAGCTGAGAAAGCAGAGGAGGCCCCTGTGTGGAAGGCCTGAAACAAATTCCTGGATCCTGGGCTCTGAATTGGCTCAGTTCTGGCATTGCAGCCATTTGAGAACTAGTGAATTGAAGATCTTGCTGTCTTTCCTCTCTGTAGCTCTGCCTTTCAAATAAAAATAGAGTTTAAAAAAAAAAAAACAGCTTAGAAATAGAAATAAGCATATATTCATAGATCTGTATGGTTTTAACAGAAAATTTTATAACAAAAAGCTAGATATTACAAATTATAGCTGGGAAAGGATGAATAATAGAAACTTTTCCTCCTATGGCCCATTTGTTACTCAGACACAGATAATCTAATTCAGTGTTTAAAATTTATGTGGGCAATAGCCTAGTGGCTAAATCCTCGCCTTTCAACTGTTGGAATCCCAAATGGGGGTTGGTTCATGTCCTGGCTGCTCCACTTCCATTCAGGTCCCTGTTTGTGGCCTGGGAGAGCAGTAGAGGATGGCTCAAAGCCTTCACCCATGTGGGAGACCCGAAGAAGCTCCAGACTCCTGGCTTTGGATTGGCTTAGCTCTGGCTGTTGTGGCCACTTAGAATGAATCAGCGGATTAAAGATCTTTCTCAGCCTTCTTTCCAATAAAATTTGTTTTTCCAATAAAAATAAGTCAATCTTTAAAAAAAAAAGTAAAAATAAAAATAATGTAGAAAAAACTGGGAGGGAGACTTACCAATAATTTCTCACTGGCACGTAAACCAGGCAAGATAGGTATGGTTATCTAAAAATAAGAGGGCTGCGGCACTGTAGCCTGGCGGCTGAAGTCCTCACTGTGTACAAGCTGGGATCCCATATGAGCACCAGTTTGTGTCCTGGCTGCTCCACTTCCCTTCCAGCTCCCTGCTGTGGTCTGGGAAAGCAGTTGGGGACAGCCCAAAGTCTTGGGACCTTTCACCCATATGGGAGACCTGGAATAAGTTTCTGGCTTAGACCTGCTCAGCTCCAGCTGTGGCAGCCATTTTGGGAAGTGAGCCAGTGGAGAATCTTTGTCTCTTCTTCTTTCTGTATATCTGCATTTGCAATAAGAAATCAATAAATCTTAAAAAAAAA